GAAAGGAAAGGAAAGGAAAGGAAAGGAAAGGAAAGGAAAGGAAAAAAGAAAAAAAGGAAGAAAGGAAGAAAGAAAGAAAAACTAGCGCAGGGTGGTTTCTCTTACCTGAGGAAGTCGGGGGCTCTCACTATCATGTGCTGGAAATCTTCCAGCGACAACTTGCCATCGTTGTCCAAGTCAGCTTCATCAATCACTTTATTACACACCAGGCTCACCTCCTCTGGGGTCAGTTCTTTACGGGTCAGTTTATTGACAGTCTTCTCCAGGTCAGATTTGCAGATATAGTTGTCATCATTAAAGTCTGCTAAGGGAGCACTCACAACTCTTAGAGCTGGCCAGAGAAAAACATCCCTTTGCCTGTCCTAGGCTTCTCACTCCATGGGCCTGATAAAGCGAATGGCTTCCTTCTGCCGGAGGGAGTATCCAAGATCCAGACTCAGCTGGCCCCAGACATCTTGCTCTGAAGCAAAGGACCTGATATTCCCACCCTCCATCTCCTGCACAAGTGGATAAGCAGTTGACCCTTAGTGGAACATCTCCAAAAGGATAGCTTGCTCCAGCACAAGGAAGGAAGCACCTCCCTTAGATGCTGCCTCGCTCTGCCTGTGCACTGCAGCTGGCCTCATGGCAACCAGCAACTTAAGGGGAAGGGGAATGAAGAAGGCCTCCCTAGGGTTTCTAGGAATATCCCCGTGCAAACAGCCATGGAATGCCTATGAGTTTCCACTCAAACTCCTGGGCATTATCCAGCCCTGAAAGCTTTCCAGCAGAGGATGTGGTGGTGATATTTATTTATTATTCATTTTATCTATTATTAAATTTATATGCTGCCCATCTCCCCTAGAGGGTGACTCTGGGCAGCTTACAATTAAAGACAAGAACTTATCTCTGAACCCTTAATAGATCATGTCAGGTGAACGAGCCTTTTTCCTATCCCTTGAATTCTCGGTCTGCACCTGCTTTTTTCCCCCCCATGATCCTCTTTTAGGACAGTTTGGCAACTGCCTGCCCTTCTCACTCCCAGAGCAATCGCCAGCCGCAAAAAAGAAGAAAAAGAAGGTGGCCCTGATAGTTCCAGCTCATTAGCACAGTCCTCCTGGCTGGAGACTGTGTCCTTGGTGTGGTGCTAATGATGAGGGAGAGCTCTGCACCATCTCCCTGGGAGAAGCCAGCAGTTCCACCCCGTGGATAGCGCCCCCCCCGGCCCCTAGCCCCTGCCAGCTCACCGTAGATTTTGAAGGCATAATAGGCCTTGAGGTCACGAGGTGCCATTTCACTCATCACTGAGAACATGTCCAAAAAGTCATCTAAGGTCATGTTGCCTTCCCCGTCCTCTGAGAAGACCTCTGCTATTCGCTGGCGGAAGGGATTGTCCTGCAGGAGGAGGAGGCAGAGCACAGAGACAGGAGAAGGGCTTCTTCTTCCCCATCTGTTTCACAGCGGCAGCCTTGCTTCCTATTTAATCTAGGTCATTTCCTGGACCACCTAGGGAAACACTTTTCTCACAGCCACTGAAGAACCCCACACGCTTTCCAGGAGCCAAGCAGGCCAACTTCTGGCTGGAAAAGACTGTTGCCTCTTGTTCTGAAGTGCAGGACACAGAATCATGCCTTTAAGTTACAGGAATGCAGATTTCAGCTGAATATGAGAAAATACTGGTTACCTGTAGGAGCAGTTGGACAGTAGAACCAGGATCCCAACAGTTGATGGGCTCCCCTGCCCTAGATATGTCCAACTAGAAGCTGGGCAGCTGTCCATCAGGATTCCTATTCTGGACTAGGGATCCAAAGCTCTTCCTACTCTAGGATCCTAGAACAGCTCGCAGCGGAGGGCTGTCCTGGCATTTGCTGCCCAGTTGCACTGAGGACATCTGCCCTGATCCTCTGTCTCTGCTGCTCTGCTTGGGAGGTGATCCAAAGCAAAGAAAGACACATAAGTGGAAACCCACGGCCTCTACTTGCAGCAACATTACTTGTTAACCTGAAATGGTAGCAGAGCAAGGAAACTTCACAGTCTTTTTCTGCTATTTTAATTCTTCATTAATGCTTCTGGCACCAGTAAGTTGTTAGGGTGACAATTTGATTTTAGTGAAGTAGGTGTAGATTGAGGCTGTACAAACACAAGTGCACATGCGCGCATATACACACACACAGACATTTTATAAAGTATGTGATATTTACTAAGCTTTGAACGGTGTATGGTTTGCTCCCCTCCTCCAGATTATACCCCCAACTGGCTTAAGGTTTGTACTAACATAATATTATAGTCAAGCCAAGATGTCAAAACTGATTGTAGGAGCAATGCCCCTTTTTAGTCATGTCCAGCTGGGAAAAGGACCCTATCGTTTGAAGGAAAGCAGAGTGCCTTCGACCCTGCCTTCAGTCACACCCTGTGCACAGCAACTCTAGCAGCTACAGGGAATCAAACCTAATTCCGTATTATTAGAAAGGACCCAAGCATAACCTTTCCAAGTGCTTGAGGGCAGAATCCCTTATCAGATGAGAAGGAAAACCCCACCTCTGGCTGCACGAGCCAGAGCTTTGCTTGAATTTGTGTTCCTTTTCTCCCTTTCCCATCACCATGCACAGCTGGAGGGAGAAGGAGAAGGAGAGCAGAGCAGGGCTGGGCCGGGCCGGGCCAGGCCGGGCTGGGCAGGACACCTGGCCCCAAGCTTCTCCTCACTTGCCCGCCGTTCTGCTTATCCCAGAGGGAGATCTCTCTGAGCTCAGATCTCTCTGAGGCCAGACCCTGCCCCCTGCCCCCCACCCAAGTGGCCTTCAGACCAGTGTGACTCTCTTGCAGGCAGTGGCCTGTTGGGGGTGGTGGGCGGGGGCCACCGTTGACTTGGACCTGCAGTACAGCCCAAAGAGGTTGCTGGGCCTTACAGCGGCCGAGCCGAACTGCTGCAGCGTGTTGCCTGCTTAGACTTCAGAATCCCCATCTCCCTGGGACCCAGAAGCAGCCTGGCTGAGTTGAGTTTCACGGTCTAGAAGAGCCAGTTGGCTTCCCCTGACCAGCAGGATCCAGAATCAGACAAAGGGAGCAGTAGACCCAACCTTTGAATTGCTCCAGCAGAATTGTGGTTTCAGGGAGCCAGGAGCACACCCAGCAAAGCCAGCCAAACAGCACCAATAAAGCCGTGATTGAGAGGCACCCCTATCTGCCCTTCCTTCCAACTGTTGGAGGATCCAGGTAACCCTGAACCTCAAGGCCAGACCTCTGCGCACAAGCGGCAAAGCAGAGGGAGATTCTCTCCCCTCCTTTCTCTTTCCAGTTCAGAAACATTATTTTTCCTTATATTTAAACAAAATCTAGGTAGCTGCCTCTCACATCCATTAGTTCCGGTCCTAGTTTCTGTGGCCAGAGAAAAGAATTCCTAACCCTTTCCCCTTGTAGCTTTTCTTTATGTACCTGGATCCAGCTATCATGTCTCTCGTAAATTTTCTTTTATTCTCAGATTCCTTTGGCTTAATGGAGCAATGTGCCAAACCCTCAGAGAATATTAGTGCTTCTTATTTGATTGCTTTGCATGTTAGCTTTAGAACTTTGTGCTATATTCCCTGTAAATTGTCAACCACCTATTTGATTGCCTTTATACCATTGGCCTCCAGTATTAACTGCTTGATTAATTATAATTTCATTTTTGGACTTCCACAATGCCTAAACCTGTTTAGTAACCTATACAGATCCCAACAGAAGTGGCATTTTGGCAGGCTCCAGTCAGTTAAAACTAACAAATGGTAAGTCTGTTCACTGACTGATGATCTAGATGCCACAGCATAAAAGGGAAGGAGAAGAGAAGAGGGAAAAAACCCCCAACTCAGGTGCTTTAAAGTTACATCAGATAACACTCCATCAGTTTTCTTGCTCCACTTGACTATTTTAAAATAAGAATTAAAGACATTGCATGGGATGCCTCACAGAGCACTACATCAGTTGATAGCACATCCATGTTCCCAGCACCGGGATATCATGCAATCGAACTTTGGTACCAAGTGACTGAATTCTGGCAGCAGTTTTTTTTTTCCTCTTCAAAATTAAGAGCACCTACCATTCCCATTTCCACACTTAAACACCCCTGAATATAGTCCCAAAGATTGCGTGGGTGGGGGGG